ACGCATTCCGCGCGGAATGCTGCATCTTCAGCTCGACCTCGTCACGAGTGGCTGAGCTCGCCGTAGTTTGTCTCATACAGGCAGTCAACCGGTTGAGCAACGTTTCCGAATGGATGAATTCGATTCAAGTTAGAGCAATGCTCTCTTGGCTTGATCTCTCGATTCACATTCAGAGCGACGAAGTGGGGCTCATTGTTCCGAGCCGGAAGAGCTTGGTGAGGAACCTCTCTACCAGCTCGACAAGGCTTCGCAAGTCGACTTCTGTCAAGATCGTATCCTCCACCGAAGTGAAATCTGTTGGAAAGTTTCTGTGGGAATTCTGGGGACCTCCCCCCGAAAATCCCGAGCACTCCGAGTAATGATGATTGAGCCGTGAGTGATTAGTGCGCCTTGCGTAGGCAAGTTACTTCCCTCTGCGCCTTTGGAGAACACCGTAACCTTTCTATCACCGGATTCATTGTCGACGTCACGGAGGACCTTCGAATCAATTTGCTCCGGGAGCTGAAGATTGACCGCTCGCAGCCATCCGGGGGAAGATATTCGAACGGAGCGTCGAGGAGGTTGCTTTGAGCTTCAAACAAGAGCCTCACCGTCTGAGGAACAAACGATACGGCACTTTCCTCGCTGTGAGGCGTGAGGAGCGTGAAAGAACGCTAAGTCCTCTGCTTTCGCTCGCTGCTCGGGGAAAAAGTGGTGCTCTGGATCCACCAGCGTTCCTCGCCTTTGAATTCTTCACTTTCTGCGGAAGAAAAAATCCTTCCCCACCTCGACGACAAGATTTCCGTCGGCGGTAATGGCAAGGACGAGCACGGCAGCGAGGAGAAACGGAAGAGGTTTGTAACCTTTTGCGCGCCCCGCAGTCCTCGAGGCCAGATGAGGAGGAACCCGAGAAACACGAGCAATCGGTCTGACTCAAAGCTTAGGGATCAGTGGGCGAGAATTCAGAAAGGAATGTGAAACAGTGTTGAAGGAAAGTGCTGTTCCGGAGGGAAGGAACCCCCACGCGCATGGGCTGCCGAGAGATTCAGAGTGTACTCTCGATCAAAATAGTTATCGTAGCGCTCAACTGACTCGACGAGAAGTCCGGTTTCGGACGCGGTGGCGGAAAAGCGGTTTTGGGTCACGACGAGACTAGTAAATAAAATACCTCTCTACCTGCGAGCGAACATACATATCACCCGAGCGAGCTTGTTCGCCTACTCGGTGGCCGCTTCAAGGAAGCTTCTCTCGGAGACATCGGATAGCTTGGGCGTGGCAGCAGGCGACACCGAACGGCACGCTTATCTCAAAGAGTACATAATGCACTGCAGATAGAGAGAGTGTAAGGATTTGCTCTTCCTCCGGTCGACCTCTTCCGTTCATTCCCTCCATCTCGTGCGATGTTTTGGTCTGCCTCGGCCGGGCTGTGGACGGTCTCCATTATTTTCCCGCGGTGTCTCGGATTCTATGGGAGTGAAACTTGGTGTTCTCGCTCAGGCTCTACTCAAATTGCTACGTCAGTTTCGCTTCATCTGATTGGGATTCAGCGAAAGAGCTGGTTCCTTCATTAGCCCGATGCTCGTGCAGGCAGAAAACCACGAAATATTATTGCGCCAGCATCGGGTGCGCCAGTTTTTTTTCAGCAGCTCTGAGAAGCGGGAAAATGCCTCACGGGGAACGTAAGGTGAATACAACCAAGTCGACTCTTCGCGAGACTCACGGTACGGGAAGACAGAGAAAGCAATGGCTCCCGGAAGAAACCGTGTTTTTTCTTCATTAAAACGCCATTCAAATTATTCGCGAATGGCTTTCTGGGTCGCTGCTGGAGGGAGGGGGAAAGTACACGGTGTGTGAACTGTCTGGCGAGCAGAGAGCGTATCGGGTTGGAGCGCTCCCGTTGAGACAAGAGCAGAAATCCTCCCAGCGGAAAGAAGCTGTCATCCGTTTCGAACAAAACATTCTTGCGTCAGAGAATTTTCCCTGACTCCACGTTCCGGGAGAACCAGCGTGGCTCCTCGGAAGAGTTCCTCAGGACGCCACCGAAACAAAGTCTTCGGAATGGTCCAGAGTCCATCCAAGACAACTCACAGTGAACTGCTTCGATGTGGGTGATCTTCGATTGCCTTGGATCACAAGAGTCGAGATCTCTGATGTGAGTTCTATCGCTCGAGAATGTAGAGCGTCCGAGACTCCGCCGTGGATGTCCATGTCTCGTCATTCATGATGGAAGCGATTCGGTTGCGCTCTGTGTAAGAGACTCCTGTCGCCGGTGAGGCCCAAGGAGAGAATACCGGAACTTGATGAGAGATGTGTCAGGATCCCGCTTTCAGACCAGTTTGCCGAAAACGTGAGTCTGGTTGAGCTGATGAGCCGAGAGACGGACTTCAGCCATTCCGTGTCGGTACGGTGTCAAGAACGAGACCGATTACGCGGGTCGAGTAACATCCCGGTCGGTCTTCCGAGCTCCGCACGATTGGCGCGAGCCCGCGCGATACCGGCGGCCTTTCGGCGACTCTAAGGAGCGACATCTGCCGAGCCCGCGGTATGATATTGGCGTAAAGCAGACGCGGCTGAAGTCTGTCCTCAGGGACTCGGGGAACTGTCATATGTAGATTCGTTTGGCTATCCCGACCTTGCCTCTCTCGGAATTGAGGGACGCTGACGGGAACGCGAGGAGCCGTCCACACAGCTCAGGAAAACGCCCTGAGGCCGGGAAGATTTCCTCCATTGTCGTCGATTCCGCGCCAGAGGAACAAGTGAGGCTACGATTGCTTCACCACGGCGACTCGACCAAAGGTGGAAACACCGACGGCGAAAGGGAACCGGAACTAGACAAAAGTTTGATTTCCGCTCGGAGAAGACTCGAACGGAGTCGACACACCGACCGACGGCGAACCGAGAGGGTTCTGCACCAACGACTTCATGTCGAGGCACGCGTTTCCCGCTGCTATCCGGTTTGATTCTACTTCCGTCTCTAGACTTAACGCTAACAATACCGCGTCTTGAGAATATCACACTCGACGTCGCCCCCGGCTCGATTCGTTGGATTTCACTTGAAGTTGAGACGACGAACTGCGTTCCGTCGCGCTCTCCTGGAGATCATTTCCTCAATCTGAGCGCACAGCGAGTTTTTAGTGTCCCAGATCCACCCGCGCGGACGTCAGTCTGTCACACCATCCGTTCGCTTGGAGTTCCGGGCTCCAGTTCTAGGGAACTCAACTTCCCTTCAACGCCACCGGCCACGAGCTCCACCTTCGTTTTGATGGAAATTCATGATCGGAAACGATTCGGATATGAATTTTGAGTTGATGAGGAGAATCGATGTCGAGAGGGAGCGAATCCGACGGAATGCCCAGAGGAATTCCTCGCGATAGATGTTCGTGCCCTGATGCGATGCTGGCGATCGATGTCAAATAATGGAATTATCCGAACGATTGGACAAAAGAAACCATATGGGACGAGTCCAGGTTCATCATCGATTCGATTCGTGCCGCTCGAAAACTGACGGAAACGGTACGGGTCACGGAGCATGAGAGCTCGCGAGTAAATTCTTTTCCCTGCTCGGAACGAACGAGACCGACTGCGCTTCTTCCGACGGGTTTCTAACCTGCCCGCGTGCCTGCGCGATTCCCATTCCGTGGCAGCTGTGAGAATTCCCAGACAAGCTTCCTCGTGTTGTTGATGTTATCGTCGCCGTCGTCGTTGTCGACAATGCCGACTACGAGGAAGACTAAAGCGAACAACGGAATGGGATCCGGCATGAAAAATCTCCTCTTGAAATAGCAGGGAGGAACCACGAAGGGATTCTCGCAACTTTCCTTCTCGCGAGGCGCTACTTTGGACAGTAAGCCGGGAGCTTGAATTCTTGATTCAGAATCTCCTCCCAGGCTACAACGCCTCCGCCGGGGAGAGAGTGCATGGCTGGATCGAGCTTGAAAAGTGGAATCGGAAGGGGCTCGGGAATTCCACCGCGGGGCCATTCGAACGAATTTCGCATACTCGGAACGAAAAGAATAACCACGGAAAAACGGTGCTCAATTCTCGGAGAGGCGTCTCCAAGTCATGAGGATGCGCTGAGAATGGGGGATCCGGACGCGGCACGAAGACTCCGAGGACGAGCCGACGGACAGCAGGGCTGGTCCCGATGTTTATTGTTGTTGGAATGGCTAAATCGGTTTCTGCTGTGACAGCTGTTGATAGCCCGTCGTTTCCTCTATGCCCGACCGTTCCCCTGCAAGGCAGGCCTTCCCCGCCAACCCGGAGCGAACGGACCCTTAGGACGGCGACGGGTCGGAGGTGGCGCTAGGAAAACAAACATGAGATGTCTTTCGATTAGGCCTGTGATATCTAGCGGCGATTCTTGGCGTTTCGAGATTCTCTCGCGGGGATTGTACTTCTGCCGAGTCGTCCAGAGGAGAACAATAAAATCAACGAGACAGTTGACTTCTTTCGCTGCTGATTCGTTGTTTCGACCGATACTCGATCGAGCTCGACTCGATCTGTCTGTTCATCCATCTGTTTATCATTAGGACGAGCTCGATGTCGCTCATCCGTGCGACTCATCCAGAGGGAAAATTTGTCCGATGTAGCTCCGTTTCAGAGTCAATATTTGCTCATTATCGGACAAGAGAGACGAGTCAAGAGGCGAGATATCGGTTTTTCTTCTCTTCTTGATCGAGCAACGCGGCTTAGTCAACATTGATTGTGTCCGTCAGCGCTCCTTCCGCTACGCACGAGTGCCGCTACGATCTAGAGCCATGAACGATGGAGTCAAAATCTCGGCAAAAACGTTGCGGAGCTTGTAGTCAATATGAAAAATGGATCGCGACGAGGATGAGCACGGAATCACGGCAAGGCATCGAAAGATTCGATGCGACTTTTTTGGCGTCCGCTCCCGCATAAACCCCCCATGCTGGACGTTTCTGAGAAAACTACTTTGATACCGTTCGATTATAGCGCGAGCGACGTCCTGACAGAATACCGGTAAGAGCTCGGTTTAACATCAGGTTTCCTGTTTTTAGCTTCTTCTTCCGAACCGGTACGGTAACGCGGAGCAAATTCTCGGAGTCCATCTCCCACAGAACGGCGAAACAGGCCCTGTACAGACCGTGGTGCAAACGCGGAATCCTGATGGTACACCGTGCGAGAAAACGGTTCTCGGTGAGTTCTACTCTGTAGCCTCGACGATCTTCGCGAGCTTCCATACGAGTGTATAACGAACGCGGGCGCCCTGGGTGCGAACAGGATCATTACGATCGACAGCGGTCTCTTGCGACAAAATTACGGCTAGAAGAGCATCATTCGGGTTCAGGACGAATCTCTCTCGGAACGCCGAGAGCCTCGATGGGAATCGATCGCGTCTAGCGCCGTCCTCCGTCGCGGTCTTCGAATAGCTGGGAATAACCGCGGAAGGCCCGGTCCGCGCTCACACACACCGGGCTCGCGCATAGCTCGCAGAGAGCGAGTCCGAGCACTCAGGCAGGGAAAATAGCTCATGGTTACGCGATCGGCAAATCAGAGTGGGGAAGCATGTCAGAGGGAGTTCAGCTCGCCGGATGTAGCGAGAATCGTTTCGGAATTCGTTCGAACGGCGGGGCGGTCGGAAGACGCTCCCGGAACTCGTTTCCAGCCGAGAAGCAGCGATCGGTACGAGCGCCCGACAGACTCCTATTGGGGAGCGGAGGCCAAACATTTTGCGATGCCCCGCCGCTTCCCTGGAGTTGTTCTCTCGATTTCCTCGTGTTGTCGTTTGCCATTTTTATGCGAATTTTTCCACTCGAAGAGTCTTCTCTTCCTTTCTCGCGCCCACCGTCTCTTATTCCTCTCTCTTGGCCTCCATCCTTCCTCCCGGCTATTCCCCTCCTCACAAGCGTCTCTGGTTCCCTGCTACTCTCGCTCGCCGTTGCTTGCAGAAGTCACTGGAGCGGCAGCCACGTCGTTTGGCGACGCATGTTCCGTTTGCGCAAAGCTTGCACATACCATCATTACTCGAGTTTTTAGTTCGGGGCAGCTCCGGCAAACTTTGGAGTCGAGCACAGACGCGACGGTAGCTCTAGAGATGACGAGGGATACTCACGGTGGCTGTAGATGGATATCCGGGTGCGCGGAAAAGGGAAGCGAGAGCAATTGTAGACAAAAGATTCCGCGAGTTTTTTCCAAGGGGAAAAGCCGCTCAGGGCCGGGGGTATTTCCCGATACTCCTCGAAATATATCCCATCTTGCCATATCGGTGAACAGTGGACGCTTCTCAGCAATCGGAGCATCAGATACAAGATCAGAGCCCGCATTCCACATCGATGCTTCGTAGTCACGGAGCGCGGCCTCTCCCGAGTCAGACTCCGGGGTTATCCGACTCCGCAAGGGATAAATTCCGACAATCGCTGCGCAAGAGAAACATGGCAGGAGGAAATGGCGGAACGTGTTCCGCTGAGACAGCGTTCCTCAGTCGCCTGCCGAACGTAAGCGCACGAGCGAATTCCGAGCGAGCCCAGAGGGACAGGCACTTTTTCTGCCCGCTCAAACGCAGGCTGCCTCGTCAGTTGATGCCGCTGGACAAAGGAAAGGGGCGGATTTGTCGTGCGGATGTTGTCCCGGAAACTCCCACATCTCTGGCGATATCATATCATGACGAGGAGACACAGCGCACGAAGTTCCACCGAGCTCAGATAGATGGACGCTCCGGTCGGAATCAGACCTACGGGAGATGAACAAACGAGCAGACCGACGAACGAACGAACGAGCGAGCGAAGTCCACGGACACACCGCTCTTCGATGGTCTTTCATAGGCGCCAGAAAGTCGCAGATTCATCTCGAAGATTGATGGAGCCGTCCGCGTACGCATCCGCTTCTGCGTCGCCCTTAGGTGTCAAACAATGATCCACAATAGTAGAGCGCTTGTTCGTCCGCCAAGGTGGCGTGGGCTAAATTTGCCGCCATTCTCCTCGTGATTCGCCCGCAGAGCCCGGGGCCAAGCTTGTGGCAAGTCTTCGATGTCTCTTCTTTGTCTAGCAATCGGCTTGAAGAGAAAGGCAGCTGAGACTTAGTCCGCCGGTTGAGGAGATAGCCTGCTGCCTCCTCCGTCGCCTCTGGTGTTCACAAATCGCGCTGGATAGACGACGTATTGTGGCCGGGGTTATAGCCTCGCTCTATTGCTTTGTCGAGCCCGGCTACGTTGATGGCGGTTTAAGCCACGACAGCAGCTCCCAGTGGTTTCTGCCCTGAACGGCGGCCATGGTCGACGTTGATTTCGTGACTCGCATGGAACGTTTGATCCTCCGTTTTCCTCTCGATTGCTCTTAGCGGGAAGTTTCCACAACTCATTCTGATGAGCTCCTATGATTTTCCGTCGACTTTATGAGAGAACTTGGAGGTGTACCCCCGACCTTCTGTTCCGAAAAAACCCTCACTAACCTAGTGTTCTTTACAGCGGACCTGAAACGCATGGAGGAGTCGAAAAAGAGCAGAATCGACAAAGACAAGAAGGAGGTGGAAACGCCGCCGCCATCTTACAGCTCTCTCGAGATCAGCGTTCAATGCGGCGGCCCGGGAGCAGCCACAGCGGAACGATGCGACAAGGAGAAACCGCCTTCGTACGATACAGCGTTGTGCAAGCTAACCGTCGATACGGGCGCCGAGCCCGCGGGTGAAAAACTTGTCGAAGAAGGTGCAGTCGGTGGAGTCGCCGTCCGCCAGAAGAGATCCAATGAAGAGGAGGTTTAATTTCAATTCTAATTATTTGAGTCCTTACCCAGGAGCCGAGCATTCCCGAAATCTTACTCGGGTTGCAGAGCGACGTATAAAAATTACCTGTTGACGACAGAAGCAATGCGAGAGAGAGGGGGAATAGTCTTGCTTCCGCAGTTCTTTTCCCGGGAAAAACCACCGATCAGAAGACTTTCCTTCTGGTTGTAGGACGGATCATGGCGGCGGGTTTCTGGTGGGCAGACTTCGTTTCCGTACGGATGTAATGCGTGATGATAACGTTCAATCTCATTCCTTGATATTTCGGCGAAGACCCCAAAAAACGGGATAGTACAGCAGCTGTGCAGAGACGCTGGCTGGGGACACGCGGGAGGGCACGAGATGATATTTGATACACTCTCAGATAAGGAAGGCAATGTTTAGTTAGAGCCGTGCTTCGAGCGATAAGCTTGATTGACATGACAGATCTTATGTTCTCGCTATCCGAGCCCTCCATTGACCAGTGGGATGACTTCTATCTTAGAGACCCATCGATGTGTATATACGGTGGCAGTGGTGTGTATAGCGGTGTGCCAGTTGGCATGCTAGGTATCTAGCAGGTCAGCCGTGCGGGGGAAACGAGATCAGACCCTTCCGGTCTGAGTTCGAGGGAACCGCCGGCTGACATCAATGAATTCACTTCGCGAGTTGTATCAAGGATTCATAGTGGTATAACGTATAACAACTCAAACGGCGTTACAACTTACATCAATAAATATTAGTTAGGTTGAAACCAACTTGCCGGCTTGAGAGCCGCAAGTTCTCTGAGGTGCATCTGCGACGTACTGTAAAAACTTGTGATACTCTAGACCGAACGAAGAGGATACGACCAGTGGCCGTGGCTGTTGGGTTGTTGTTGTAGTTGCGAACAGTTTATTTTATCGCGGCTGCCTTACCCTCACATATCGAGAGGATCTGACGCGTTAATCGGTAAAGCCAGGGATGCCAAAAAACTGAAACTCCGAAAGGGTCGCTGCTGCTTGTTGTTACAGCAACGCCCTCGACGGCGCTCCCGGAAAACTGCGGATACCCGTTAGCGTACCCTGCAATTAGAAGTTTTCTCTTCTCATTTGTAGCTTTTGATGGCATAAAGGGCATGCTTCGAATTCATTCGAGGATGTAGATCTGTATGTATCTAGACCTTACGGGGAGGGTGCGAGAAAAATAAGTAGAACTCCTCACCTGCAACTTCTCCTTCTGTTACCCATGGTGTTCCCTCGACAAGATTGTTCAGCTCTCGCTCTCTCGGAACGAGATTTAAGTAGAAAGGTTAGCATTGTTTTCTGAGCTTAACTCCTGACTCCTGACCCAAGTGACGAGGTCTCGAGAGACCGAAGTTCGTCGCAGCGTAGTTTTTGGGGGGAACGGCCCCGAGCTCCTTGAAACAATAGTCAACAACCGATGCGGCTCGAATGATTAGAATCGTCTAGAAATTAGTGAGATAATTTTCGGATGATTTCTGGTCGGAACGATGATTATCGATGGAGAGCTTATCGATGTGAGCCTGAATTTAATCATAAGAATTGTCCAGTAGACTTTTGGATTGGAATGCAGTAGTCAAAACTTTGGATTTTAGTCAGCGTTGTGAGAGGGTGCACAACAGCAGGATTCGCGAATGTTCGCTTGGTTGAGTGTCGGATCCGAACTCTTGCTGGACCAGAGGAATGTATTCAGGGGTTTCTTCGGATTGTTTGACGGTCGTACGAAACAAGATGAATGGTAATTCTCATCGGATCACATATTCTACTATTTGTGAGAGCAGGCGGGCGTCTTCGGAACAGCGCGTGGCTGATCGGAACGAACCCTCCGACAGCAAGGCTCAGATATCTCCTGCGGATACAGGAGATGTCTGTCACGAATTAAATCATCGATTAATATTCATTGTAATTATAACAATTGACGAAGGCCGCGCTTCTATACAGATGTAGCATTTAGGCGGTTTTGTGGCGCTAGATCCGCGCATGTAAACGATACACATTGAATGAGAGTCGGAAGTGTAACAAGGAATCCAGCTTCTCGACTTGAGCGATATCTTGTCGAAATATTAGCGGTCCATCGAGAAGGCGATGATATCAAAGTTGATGTTAATAAAAAACATGGATGGGAAGAAAACGACAGGAGAATTCTCTCGGATCAGATTCGCTGCCTCCAAATAGATTCGTGTCAATTTCGATCGGAGACAATGAAGGTCGAAAAAATAAATTCGTTCCCCCTCCCTTCAATGGCAAGAACGCTACGCTGATGGACGACTGAAGGTAAGCGTACACGACAGCAGAGTTCCTCTCAGATGCGTCGTGAATCCGTGAACCGTTCCTCCCTGACACTAGAAAGTAATCGCGGACCAGGTCTCTAGGGGAGCTCAGCCCTGGTGCTACCTGACTTTCCTCTCAGATCGAGTATGTGAGTATTCCCTCGAGATTCAAAGGGAGACATCCATAAGGAGGTATATGGAGAATTGCTCCTCCCAGCAGCGGAGTTTCACATCGGAGAGTCTCATTTCGAACGTCAAAAACGGCCATCGGCCCCCAAGCGGGCAACGCTTCCGGTGAACATCTCTTAAGTGTTCGCTTCCACACTCGGGGAAACATTCATTTCAGCGACATGAATCGAATCTTGTCGGAATTGAGCGCGAAACTATCATCGTCGTCTTCCGAGCGCGGCTCGTCCACGGCTTCAGAATCGGCGTCGGATCTCGAGAACTCTGAAGGGGCATCGCAGGACCTCTCCGATCCTCTTCCAGGGCCTCCGCGCTCACCTCTCATCAGAGCCGAATACTCCGAGATCGAGTCCCTGACAACAGGTACTCGAGCTTTCAGGATCATCATCGTCATTGTACCATTGGCATACCGAGCCGGAGCTCTAAGTTCGGATCTCGCGCCCAACGGGGGGGCAGCCTGTGGACAGAGCTGTGCGCCATGGGATTTTCGTCGGCGGCGGGCTGGAAAACGGGCGGCGGCGGACCGATGAGCCCACGGCGCGCCGCGGGATAGGTGGAACGCACGTTCGAAAGTCCTCTGATCGCGTTTCCTCATTTGTCGGGGATGAAATTTTATTGGGTTCCAATTTTTCCCGGTGGTTTTCTGTTACTTTCCATGACAATTGGGCACGGCGCGCCGGCGTTCCGTCACGCCGTCGGACGCCGTGCTCGGATTCCGGCGGCGGCGGCGGACTCCAGAGGTCGGCGGCGGACTCCAGAGGTCGGCGGCGGCGGTCGTCGGCGAATTCGTGACGCGGCGCACAGCTCTGCCTGTGGATTGTTCGTTCTCTCTGTGTCGTGGACAAAGGCTTCATCGGATTGGCGGTCGTTCTATTCCTTACGTCTGAATAATTCCCCAAACAAACCTTTTCGATTGGAGCGTGGAGCTCATAAAACGTTCGTTTCGCTGTTCCTTGGCGAAAATCGGTTCGTTGCACGAGGCAGTATTGTCGAATCGAGAATTTCGGATGTATGTAAGAAGCGTTGTCCCCGCGACTCTCGCGATATTCGGGTATCCACCATAGAATCCTGCGTCGCTCTCGCGGCAAGGAATCCGAGAGGAAGAGAATTATCCGATATTCATTCATCAATCGCTCATCATTCAATGATAGGCACGATTCAGTCGACACCCCCTCTGGCAAGGAAAAAACCGAGGCACACGGACCGCATAACTCACCGAAGAAAACCGACAAAAGACAAGCAACGTCAAAGTCTGGCAAGGCCCTCATCGCGGAAAACAGGCAAGCGCAAAGCCAAGTCGGACAAAACGAAGAGACGCTCTGTTAAGGCTGAAAAGAAGAGAAGTGCGAATTTCTGGAAGCATTCCATGTGCTGCACACCATCCTGATGTTATCGGGGAGACGTTCCGCAATCCGTTGTTCGCCACGGGATCTCAATTCGCTTGTCAATTATAATTTAGCTATGAATAGTACACCTTGTTCTTGAGTTCGAATGCAATGAGGCTTTTCTATGGCTTTAGCCAAATCTGCGATTCCCGTCGAATCCCGTCGTCCGCGACGTTTCCATGCGGTCTCTGCTGTGCATCTCTGATCGAAAACTGCGCGAGGAAAAGACTTCGAAGATTCTTCTTCCAGCCGTCGTCTCCGGAAGTACGGAAAGACTCTCGTCTAGTCCGATTCACGAGAGTTTTCGAAAACAAGCGCTCTGTTCGGTGGCTCCTCTCGCGGCCCATCCCAGAAGCACGGTTTTCGGCCCAGGACTCAGGAGGAGGAGGAGGGTCCGGGAAGGAAGCGCGAGAGCCGAAGTCAGCCTGCCCTTACCTTAAGCGAATGTGGACCTCAGCAGAGATGAGAACGTTTATCTCAGTTCCTGAAAGCTTGTTCGATGTCTCAGCGAACCAAGTAATCGATGATGATGACGGCGATCGCCGGCGAGTGAACAAATTCCATTCGAATTCGAATCTCGTCTCGGCAATGTTTCTAGGAGCGGAGACTCTCAGAGTAGGCTCAGGTGAGTTGCCACTTGTCATCGCCGTAGGTGATGAATTAGTTCCCGTGATGGATCAGTGCTGATGTCAGAACAAGTGACAATGCTGTGACCGGAGTTAATCTCGCGTTATCATGTGAAAGAAGCCGTTGCCTCGTGTTCGGATCCTTCTGCGGGTCGGATGGTTAGTGGAACACCCACGAATGGGCCAAGATTCCCGCTCAGGGCTCCGGTGGACCATCGATGCCCATGTGTTGTCTCTAGTGGGAGTACGCGCTCTGTCGATGATGAGGTTCATGATTCCTTCCCATCGGGGTCGATTCGAATCCTGGCTGGTTCCAAAGACACCCTTGATGAAATGAGCGTCGCTTGCGCTCTCATCCGAAAACGAATATTTCGACCACTTCCGCATCCAGGTACAGCGTCAGGATCAGCAGTGCTCCATTCGAGATCCTGTACAATTCGTGGACAATATGGAATTCGACGACGGATTCCGCTGCCAACTCCTGCGTCGTCTTATATGCTAGGAACGTGCGGGGAGTGACATTTTTGAAGGTTTCCTCTCTCAAGCCTCATTAGATCTCTGGATGGATCTCGGTCGCAGCGCTTCCTGAACTGTTCGCGCTCCGCCACGATGATAGGAACGAATCGTAATCAGAGCCGCATCCCATCACCTGTGAATCCAATCGAGAAACGATATCACCGGGACATGGGGGGCTAGTCGCGTCGCGACGAACCGGATCGCTGGACGAACTCACTCCTATGCTATCGACGAAACCAGTACCGCTGATACACAACGATATGAGATACACCATAGTCATCGGAGGAGCTTCGGATGAGGAACCCAATTTCCCCGAGTTTGCGGGGGTCTAAAATGAGTATATCTGGATCTAGTACCACGTCCCAAGCCACGACAATAATCGCAGGCAATGTTCAGCGACAAGCATCGACAGGACCAGGGGCGGATCCAGGAATCCTCCGAGGGGGGGGGCGGTCAATGCATCGAGGCAGGGGCGGATTGATTTCGGGTTCTGCTCCGGCAGGGGGAGTAAGGAGGCTCCACCCGACTGCCGCCCCTTCCTTGAATCCGTCCCTAGACAGGACACTCTGGTGCGAAGATTCTGGTCGCAGTCAGTGCGAAGATTCTGGTTCCCTGGTCGGATAAGGCCACCATGTTTTATTCGCTCGATTCCCGCGAGCATAGCTCCAGAGCTTATGTCTGATGCTTGGTGGAGCCTTCTTCGCGCAAGTGAGTAGTCTCCATGCGCATCGACGTAGAGTAAATTCTTTCTGGACACGAAGAAGCTCGATTTTGTCCTTGTTTTTCATGGACGTCTTGAGCTATTTAAATATGCCAAATCGTTTTCATCAGCATGAACCAGACGTGCCGGGCTCCGCCAGCAGTTCTTAATGGGATTCAAGTCAGGGCCAACTGAGTCGAGAATGATCCAGCAAAGGCATTCTAGGCGCCTCGAACAATCCTTTCATGAACCCAGAACAATGTGTGGAGGCAATATCTTGCACGAATATGAATCCCGAGCCATAAAACTTGCTTGCGAAGGAGAGAAAGACTTTCTCCTTGGATCTTGCGTACATCTCGCACTTCTCTAGCGCGTTTTGGGACGCGATCTTTGATATACCTCCGGCAGAAATCGCAGCCCGAAGCATAAAATAACCTCGGCCGAAGTTCCAGCCCAGAATTGTGTAAGGAACAAATTCTTCGCACTAAATTTCTAGTAGTCGACCCTCGTCGCTGAAAATTGCCCGGGATCATTTTCGTGACAGGGACGGTATGGGTGGCGGGTTGCATGGGGACAAGATATCAGATTCGAGTAAATTTACTTCTATCTCCTCCAAACTCGAGGAGAAGGCCTCATCCGAAATGCCGCTAGTTTCCCGGGCCGGGAAATTCCACTAGCGTAGATCCCGGGTCATCTGATTCAGGCAGCGGGCATTTGAGCCTCTCCTGGACTCGTTGCTCGAATCCGCCGATATTGAGTTTAAGCTGCCCAGGTGAGGTTGTCGCTCGCGGCGTTGAAGCTCCATGGCGCACTAAGCTTCCGCAGATGTCAATTCTGTTTGCACAAAAATCTTGATGCCGTAATCACACCTCACGCGGAATGAGGCACGTTCGAGTTTCCAAGCGACGCATGCAGGAATTCGCTGTCGCAGAGCTCAGAGAGCCCAACTCACGCAATCCGTGGCCAAGCGGGAAATCTAACGGAATATGGGATATCGCTCGTGATGCCAACGATCGCAAAGGATATTGGCGCCCCGATCCAGGGCCGTCTCCTGCGTGGGTTCCAGCGGGGAAAGCAGATCGTTGCTCCTTCGTCTCATTGCTCACGATCCGAATTCTCTGGGCTCCGCAACTTCCGTATTCTATTTCGCTCCCCCCTCAAAATAATATATCTAGGAACGTGATCCGACCCGGGTTCTAAACTCGGATTCGGAAGCCCCTCGAGTTCAAAGCCTCAGACGGAGCTCTTTCATAAGTGAGAGCTAGAAACAAACAAGCCAAAACGAAAAGTTCTCGGAGTACCGACTTAGTCTAATGGAAGACTTCACGGCAAGTCAAACTTTAGGTTTGGGTGCGCTCATGAAAGTGCACAGCTCAGTTGGGCTATGGATTGAAGTTGTTGAAATTCTATAGAACCCGTAGGACTTCCGCGTGCTTGTTCGCAGGTCGGTCCATAACAAGGCATTGTTGAGGCCGTCGCAACGCACTCGGTGCTCTTCTGATCGTATAACTCCTGGACAGTTCCGGTTCTCGGGCGCTAGCATGCCGAGGTACGCTCGAGAACAGGTGATACTCCAGGTCCCATTATTCAGTGTACGACCACGGGACAGTCGACTTCAACTCCGAAAAGAACGTGACTCCGGACAAGGAGTCTGACCTCGACTCGAATCGTAAAAATGTTTAGGACACGTCAGCGCTCAATGGTTGAAAAAGTCGCTCGAGCTGAGGATTTCAAGTCGACTCCCGCATACCTGCAAGAGACAGAATAGTTATGAGAGCGGGACCTCGGGTTGAAGTGATCTCCATGCGACGACGCCGACCCCGTGAAGCCTAGAGCGGTAAAACGCAGGAGGCTCAACAATGGTAGTGATCGAAGGGATGGATCGGTTGCGTCAGTATAAGAATAATTGGTTCAGTGCTCTCTTTCGGCTGCTCCTTCCCTTTTATCGGCGGTCGCATTGGTCTGGATTACGGAACCCCCCCTCGCCCGAATGAACACCGATTTCGAGCGATTCGACCGTGTTCGACCGGACTCTAGAGAGCTCATTATTTCTCACTGTCTGGGAGGATCCTGCTGATTTATGACTTGGGCTGTTGCGCGTCCCCGGAGTTACGTCCGTGGACTGCTAGCTTGAGCGCCTCGTCGTCCTAACGAGGAGCTTGTCTTCATGAGGTACATTGGCTGCATTCGTATCGGTCGCCGGGTTGACCGGAATGGAAGCCGAAGTTTCGATGTGCCCGGTCCTGCTCGACGCCAGGATCGTCACGGTCTCTTTTTTCGAGGAATACTCGAGCTGCGAATCGAGATTCGACTCGGGATGAACTCCAAATGATAAGAGATGGACGATGGATGGTAGACAACGAACATGATCGCATCATTGCGCACTACGACGCGACGGGAGAAGAATGGAATGGGTACTTTATCGTAATTTTATTTCTTACTCTGGCCAACGGAAACAAAGCCATTCAGTGTCGAGGCTTCAAACCTGTTCGATGCACGGGCCATCGTAACCTCCACGGGTCCCTCGATCCATTATGAGACAGAACGCTTTCGCGGCCAAATCCAGTCCGGAACTTCGGGTAGACTTCAAGGCGCGCTTCCAAGCAAATTTCCAGGATCCTATTTTATGCCGTGAGCTGTCCGCCGGTCGATCCTAATCCCTCCTCCTCAGGCGGAGGGAAATCATCATCTCACGGTGATCATAGGGCCGTGCATGTGAATCGTCCCGCCACCGGATAGCGTTTTCGATTCAGACCCGCAGGAAACGTTCACCCTGAAGGGGACGTCCAAACAATTCTCCTGAGCAAGCTGCGACTCGATTGAGCCGCGTCTGAAATCGAAGACGATCAACTTCCTTGCCGGACAGGATTCTGTCCAGCATGAGGTCTCGTCTTAAATAACATACGGGTAGGAAATCGCTGCATCGAACTCCTGAGTGCGAGCGGTGGCCCGAGCGATAGTCGGGGCTGTAAAGGGGACCAAGACAGGACGGAGGAGGCGCTGCTCCGGGAACTCTCAGCGACAAAGTCTATCGAACGAGATATTTCAGTCATAAAGCTCATGGGAGCGCATGATAAACGAGTAATATATTAGCTGGCACGCTGGCGGGCGCTCGTAGCAACAAGCTCGCGGGGCTTTTGTTTTCTTGCTATCTCTCATGCACACAGAGCCCGCGCCTGATTCGATTCTCCGGCAGTTCACCAGTGTCGCGATGTTGCGCGCGTGACACTGGTGAAACTCAGCACTGACTTTCGAATAAGGCTGAGGCAAGCCCCTTAGCTGTGGAAGAGCTCTTCGACGAGGCATTCTCATCAAGCCTGTCTAGCTGATCGGCCGAGATCGGGAAAAGAATTAAAAAAGATGCTAGAAATATATTCCTGTTGTAATAATCCGCCGCAGCATACCTACCATCCTGTGGATAGGAACAAGAGCTCGACTCGACCAACCGCTTCCCCTTTCAAAATAAAGGTCTCAGACCGCGAAAGGCGAATCGGCAGTCATCGCAGAGCTCCGAGGCCCAGGCTTCAGGAGGTCCTCTCGGTATCTATCCTTCGACCTCAAATCATGAGAATGCACTCCCTGCTACCACCCTGATAAAATCTGGGGATCTGGGTATTATTTTCTCTGCCCGTGTCTCGGATCCTGTCAATCCAGCTAGTGGATGCAATATCAGACAGTCCCATTCAAGCTGGTCCTGTGCTCCAGATCCAGGTTTCCGGTAGAGGAGTAGATGAAAGACAAGCTCTACCCTGGAATATCTACCCTCGGGACCCTTGCAAATGCAGCGATTGCAGCGATGTAAATTATTGGAACTTCGATAAACGTACCAAGTCCAGGCCATCTCAGTGTGGGATTTTCACTCCGTTCAAATCCTGCGTGGGAGGCGATCAAGCCGAAATCAGGTGAAGCCGTCGGCGGTGCTATTCAGCCTACAGCTCAACAAGCGCGGGAAAAAACGGGAAAGTCTAGCTCTATTCGACTCTCGCCGACAGCTGCCCGACTTGAATACTGGCTGCTCAGCCGATGGTGACATTTGTTTCTGACCTTTTAGGATTTGTCGGGACCGAATCGAGAGCAAATCATATGACAGCCAAAGCGCTTCCAGTTCGCGAAGCTGCACGACTGGGTTCCCCGGGGACCGAAGATACTGAAATTTTCCTCGGGCGGAGCCGCCTCTTGTGGAGAACTCGCCGCCACCGAGCATCGAATCGCTCATGGGAGATTTTCTCTTCATTCCAGAAGCCTAGCCGGAAGAGTTCGGCTAGGCGGTGACGCATTTTCGCCGCTCAAACAGCACAAGGACAATCATGTGTCTCAGGTGAGTAAAGCACCGTCCTATAAATAGAACCGACTCTCGGTCGGATCCCATACTGGGAAATTCAGGGTTCCGGAAATAGGAACTCCTAACGCAATCGGAGGGGATCTATTCTCTCCGGGGACCGAGATATCGATCAGAGAAGAGAGGCTACGCGCCGAACAAGACGATCTTTATTAACTAAGCCAGAGGACATCCCAGCCCATACGCCACGTAGCTCGCTGTGTGAATTATTCGCAGTGACTGTGACATCCAAAAGCCTTTTTCCGGAGAATGCTTCCCATGCATGAATCCTAGCGACGAAGAACGTCATTACGCCGAACACAAAGGTTCTGCGAGCGTTCCGTCGTTCAATTGCACCCTAAGTCAGTCTTGTAGCTTCCGCCAGATGACCTCTTGCCCCCGGAGCCGGATCCCGCAGGTGCTGACGCGCAAGATTGCCGCCGCTGCTCCGTCCGACCGTGGCCTTTCGCTCGGGGAACGCACTGCGGCTTAGATGCAGGCGATGTTTTGCAAGTGCTTTGTTGTCCGGTGCTTTCGTTCAGTTGTCACGAGATAGCTGTTCCTCTGAGCGGTCTACGCTCGAGAAGACGAGCGGAAAGCCCCCAGGCCTTGGACGACGGACAGATTTGCGAGTCGTGCTAAGACGGACTTGCGTGGGTGGTCAGCTTAACTCTGGCAAGGAGAACCTGAGTTCTCCATTCGACTTGTTGAAAACGCTCGGTGCAACATTATAGACGTCGTCGTCGTCGCTCCCGTCGAGGTGGTACCCGTTCGTGGCGCAAATACTTTTTTCGTCTCCACCCGAGGTTTTTCCAAGTACAACTTCTAGCCGCTGCGGTTTGAGCGACGTCTTCTCCACTCGAGCTTTTCCGATGTTCCGTTCTTCCCCCAGCTCCGTCTTTTGATACGGATTGCCCCAGCTCCGTCTTTCGATGGGGATTCCCCCTGCTCCGTCTTTTCCACCTGTTCCTCTGAGCGTCTTTTCCACCTGTCTTCCCGCTCGCGACTCACTCATCCGGTTCTATTTCGAAAGCGCCGCGATCCGTACGCCCACTCCACCTGCTCATCCCCGATAGCTGCTCCTCCGGGAGGTAACTGCGGATATCTTTGGAGGTTATGACCTTTTCTCTTCCACCTCCCCGACTGACCTTTCCAGCATCCGTTCCGCTCCTGACGTATGAGGAGGATTCGGAGCTCCGGAAATGATCCTAGAAAATTAGTGATTGGCCCGGTATCTGTTGGAAGGAAGAAGGAACGGAGGAAGATCTGTATCGAATCGATCAATGGAGGCGTCGGGAACCTGAGGGAACTTTTCCCCAGGTTTCCCGTTGAATTCGAGAGCTGATATTGCTCCCTTCCTTGGATTTGTAGCTCGAGCTGGAACAAGAGATCATCGGTCGGGAAAGGTCGTGAAGACGCACCTGGAGCCTCAGGGTAGAGAAGATCCCGGACCGGAGTCTGAGCCGTCGTCGGGGAGAATTGGACCCGACTCCAATTTCGACTCGATTCTAGTTCCTACTAAGCAGTAACTTTCCATTTGCAGTTGTAGGATGTCGTCTCTGTTATTTTTCTCCATCTTCATATTCACTGGATTGGGTATATACGGGCTCCTACTCCGCAAGAAAGGGCTCCGATCCCGCTTCACCGAAACGTGGACGGTTTACTGTTTCGTAATGAGCATTGTCTGTCTCGTGCTCGCCTATTGCATCTCAATCTGCGACTCCTGGAAGAAGGAAAACAAGCGTCGAAACAGGTGCGTACTTCGAGAATCCACAGTCCGGGTTCGAGCCTTGCTCGCAACAATCGATGGGAACGTTATTGGATACGGATTTCGATAAGATATCAGGATTTCGAGCATAGATGCGTGAGCTCGGGTCGATCGGGATCGAGGATTCGTAGTTTTTCCTCTCAAACTTTGGCCTCTACCGAGCAGGAGCGACAATGAAAATAGCGACAGCGGAGCAAGCGGCAGCGGTATTATTTCGAGTGGACGTCGCTATGGACCTTCGGTAGTGAAAAGTGGACCTTTACCTCCTTTGACAATCTCGAACTCGGCACTCCACGGCCACGGTCCTCAAAGCGCCACGACATCGCCAAGGGACTTTACCTTCACAACACCATCGCCCCGGAGCGCATCTTCAACGAGACACTTTGTGTTCCCAGCTGGGACCTATCTACAGGTTAGTACAGGGTCAGAAGTCATAAGCCGCGCAGGTCTGCCGGCCCTTCTACCTAACCGGCCGGCACCGCTTGTTGTCCGGCAGCCATTGCGAAACCAATATGCGCAGTCTGACCACAAAAGATCGCACAATGCCCTCGACCAACTAACCTTGACGTGAATATTGCACTCGAAACGGCTCGGGTCAAGCTTCAAAGCTATTGGATTTGCTCACAGGTATCCCCGGCGCAGAGCAGCGCGGTCTCACCTTCGAGAAGTGGCAGATACTACCTAGCGACCGGGTCGACCCGTTCGATTGCATCCGCCCCCGTTGAGGGTTCGATATCACCTCTAGAAAACGGCGCACCAAGCCAAGTTCCGGGTAAGCGACCAATTTATTCCAGAGAATAATTTGGCTGTACTCGGCCGTCAAGGCGTCCGCATGAACGGTAGAGTGCTGACGATGGTTCTGACGATTTTTCAGGCAATGCCACCGGTTCGGCGAATATCGTTTCCTGTCGGGAGGCTTCGTCGGGTGCATCTTCGGCTCCCCGCTCGCCGAGAGAACGTCCGGTACTTTTCGTTGTTGTACCGCGTGGCTCTGCGCTTCAATTGCCGGTCATGCTCGATATGCCAAGATCGCCTAATTCGCCGCTCGATCGTAGATGCGTACGGAGGTGAGTGAGGAGGCTGTTGCTTCACAAACTGTCGTCCCGGAGAATATTCAGCCGGAGATGGACCTTGCCACGGCTTCGGAAATTGAATTCGAAAGGAATCATATCTCTCTCTGTATGTCACGCGACCTTTTTGCCAATGCTGTCACACGCTCACGATTCTCTCGTTCCAAACGCAGATGCTGTAGCTTACCCCGTTCGGGCCATCGGCGGGCACGGCGCTTCTATCAGCATAGCGGAGGCTCGGGCGTTCACGGCCACGCTCACGCTCCTCATTCCACACCTCCACCATCTCCGAGACAAGTGTGCCTCGTGCTTCCTTCTCAGATGAGCCACTTGCAACAGTCCCGCACCTACCAGAGGCGGAGATCGAACTCTTTCTCCGGTTTGGACGCGGTCCGCCCTTCGCACAGGTAATGCGCGGCTGATCCCGCTCGGTGACGGGGAGGTGGTTCACAATCGTTGTCCCATTTTCCCGATTTTCTCATGAAAGGGGAGCAATCGGAGGTCCATTACGCCTTTCGGGCCCCGCCGCTGGTTCTTGGACCTCACCTGACCTAGGTATTGGTCCTCGCTCAATCTTACTAAGGGATGAGCATTGATATCTTCGTTTGCCCACAGAAGCAGCGACCACCTGAATATCCCCGGTCGAGTGGGTGCTGTTTCAAGCGCCAGTACGGGAGACATTTCGTTCGAAGACGATCCGCCATCATACGCTTCACTCTGTGAGGATCCACCTCCTTATAGTGAGATTATCAGACCGGTGAGTCATGCGGCCTCCCAGACATCGGACCCCGGCTCAGACCCCGATCATGGTATCACTGTTACCGTAGAGCGCAGCAGTCCGTCGGTGGCACCGCAGGACGAGTTGGCCACGACCACGGTCATCGTTGACGGGCTCCACGAGACCGCAGCGTAAGCCGCTTTCTCGGTATTCGTACACTTCTTATGGCAACTAATTCACATGACGGCACAGGACTCTGGAGAGCCAATCGCAGGGTGACAATCCCAGGGTTTGAGTTGTAGCCTTCTCAATCAGAAATCATCAGGAGAATTACAAGAAATTCAAGCGTCAATAAGCAGCGATGATGATAAATATTATGAATATAGTCGAGACCACATCATGGGATGCACCTCCATTCCTTTGAGTGTTTTGGAATGAGAGCGAGTGTGTGTACCTCACTGAGCACTGTCTTAGCAATTTTTAGAGATTTCACCAACCGAAGCTTGAATGTGTGACTAAGTGATTCTAAGAAGGGTGGAGCTGAGCTGAAGTACCGCGGAGGACTTCGAGCCGACAAGCGGATGGACTGACGTAAAAAAGTCGGCGAAAAGTGATGGAGAACTGGATCTTCGAGGGAGAGTCATCCGTTATTGGCCGTGCGAGGATTTGAAAGACGGAGAGCTTGTCGATTGTCAGTCTCGGCAGCGGGTTTGAGAGTTCGTCTTCGCGTCTCTTTTGGCGAGCAATCGAGTCTGGCTGGAGTAAAGTACAAACGCGAGAAGAATGTTGATCGTATGTATATCTGATTCACATGCTGAGGAATCACACGATTGGAGGCTGTTGTGGACGAAAAAGAGAGGCTTGAAGGAATGTGTCTTCAGAAAGGATCCTACTGCACCCCCAGGGTATTCCCGGCAAAACAAACACCGTAATCGTACGTTACCGTTTAAACCTGCATCAGGGACAAGACTATTCCCTTATTTAGAAAGGGTGCGAACCAATGAACATAAGGCTTCCTGGTTTACTGATCGCTGCAGTAAAGCAGCGGCTGTTCCCACGAAGCTCCCTGGAAAAATATGTGATATGACTCAGCCATCCGCTGATCAATCTCTGGGAGTAATTTTTTCCGTTCGATTTCGGAACGTGACTCTTTATGAATTCGTGGTGATTTATGATAGTTCTCATCACTCACCGTTCAGAGGTAATGGGGTGAATCCTGAGAACGAGTAGCGCAGGCCGTCGCCGAAGTCGCGCTGAGTATTGCAATGGAATGCAGAGTTGACACCGGCGACTATACTCGCTGATAAGACATCTCAAATGCGACATTGAGGACCGCCTCGTCGGACAACCTTTCAGCGGAGCTTTTCGGGAATTATCCGAGCTTCGGGGAAGCAGATTGAATTCTGTTCTTCTCCGGTGCTTGGCGGCGATCTGCATCGGATTCAGTAATCATTGACTCGTCTCGAGTTCGAATCGGATTGAGCGGGGCATGGACGAAAATTTCGAACCGATAACGAAATCAGGGGTCCTTTGTGGAGCCGCGAGAACGATTCGAGTAGTATAGGGGTGTCTGGACCGCGACATTGATTTATTACATGGCAGCTGACGGACGGCTGCCGGAAATTCTGCCGATGTACATACCAGGGATGATTCTTAGATGAACGCATGAGAATGATTCTGGCCGTTCTTCTGTCTTATTGAAAATTCGCCGTTTAATTATACGCTGAAGCAATCGAAAGTGATTTTAGGTCGAATTTTATCTGGAGTATAATCGTCTCGAAATCTCCCCCTGGCGAAAGTCATGAGTGTTTAGGATATTCCTCAAACTGTCTTCACACGAGCATTATCCTTGATCTGAAAACCCGCATATACCCTGAGCGCAACCTTCCCCGGGTCGCAACGACAGCGGGAGGCGAGATATTGTGAAATACTGGAGTTCTGTTCGGCAAGATCTCATATAAATGGTTGAATGATGTTTCGATTGTTTGATCTCCGAGAAAATCTTTCTCTGTTGTTACCTTGTTCCCTCCATGTTTCCGGAGTGTTTGTGATAGCTCACTTATCATATCCGTGTCTACTCACTCGATGATCCGGCGTAATTGTTACGTATTATTCAAATAAAAGCTAATCTACTTTCCATCGTAGACTATTCGCGTTTCTAGACCAGACCAGATTAACATCACTTATTCCAGCACAGAGAAGTGCGCCAGTAGGCTCAGGCTCAGCCATGCAAAACGAATAACTAGGCGGGACTCCCTGCTTTTATTGATAACATCGGAGAGGCGATTGGGGACCAGTAATCCAGCGATCTAGCAGTTCAACACGATTTTCACGGCACCGTCACGCCCGCTTATTGCATGATCGAACGCGTCTTTCACTTTCTCCAATGGGTAACGATGAGTGATCATTGGTTTCAAGTCGATGCGGCCGGAACCAAGCAGGGAAATCGCAGTCGGATAGCTGAAGAATTCGAATAAATTATTAGCAGCTCACGATGGAGGGTGGAGAGTTCGCATCAGTGGAAGTACCAGCTCGTCATAGAAAAAAAATCGCTCACCAGTTCGCGTAGCAGAAAATGCCTTGGATCACAATCTCTTTCACGACGGCTTCCATGATCGGGACCTTGCTGAGTTGAGGGCCCATACCGACGACCAGGATAGTTCCCCCAGGTTTGGTTGCCTGGAACAAGGAACTCGAGATGAGAAACAACGTTTGGGTCCGATCTTCGCATATATCCCTTCGCTGCATGAGCAAATGATCGGGCGATGGAGGGAGAAGCCCCCATTCCGGAAAACTCACGTAAACAGCAGTTTGCAGGCAGGTCTCCTGACCAGTGCATTCGAAGGTTATCTCCGGAGGGCCGCCGAGGATTTCTTGGACTTTCTCGGCGATCGCTTCCGGGCTCATACCGCGGGTGTTCATTGTGTAGTTGACACCCATTGCCGTAGCGACTTTCAATTTCGCATCGACGATGTCTGTAAAGGAGAGGAGCTCAAAACTACGGCCGAGCTTTTGATTGGTGTAGAATGCCGCTGAGAAAGAATGTTGTAGAGAATCTCGATATGTAGGGGAAGGAATCCGGTACCAGTTTGAACGATGGAGTCAACACCGTAGGCTCTGGCTGCGGTCATGCACAAAAGACCGATGGGTCCAGCACCGCATACGAGGACCTTCTGACCAGGGGCTACGCGCCCTTTCCTACAAGCGTGCACTGCCACGGCGAAAGGTTCTACCAGAGCAGCCTCATCCATGGACAGGCTATCTGGGACCCTGTACGGGAAAGGATCAGGTAATCGGAGATCTGATAGGTTTCGCTGCGAATGACACGATGCAAGCAGGTTTCGGCCGATAAGAATCGTAATTATCGAATGAGGGTGGGTCTCACTTGAACACGAGGTCCGCTTTCATGATCGCGTAACGCCTCAAGTGACCCCTGTACGGAGTGACTTCCGTTAAGTCGACTCGCGGGCACAAATTGTAGGAGCCTCGTTTGCAGAATTCGCAGGTATGACACGTGAGGTTCGGCTCGACGGCGACTCGATCACCTACGCATGTCACAAGCGGCTTTGACATCTCTGAAGATTTCCCTTCGTCTGCGGAATTGCTGATCCGGGACCGATGATCCCTGATCCGTCCACTCACCAACTTTCAGGTGGGTCACTGCTCTGCCAACCTTCGACACCGTGCCACTGGTCTCGTGTCCGAGGACGATGGGCGAGTGAACGATGAAGCGGCCCGTGCGACCGTCAAGGAAATAATGGAGATCGGTTCCACAGATGCCCACCGAGCCAATTCGGAGTTGAACATCTTCAAAACGTGCGGAGAATTAACAGTGAATGCCCAGCCCTGGGAATACATGTGCGTCGATGCACTTGTATAATAAGTGGATCTCTAGACTCATACCGTCGTCTTGAGGCTCTTCGATGGGAGTTTGCTCCTAGAAGGAATTTCAATCAAATCTCCTGCAACAATGTCACAGCTCCACCGAATTTCAGCGGGAGCATTCCGGGCATCTCCTAAACTACGTATCATGATATCCCCACACTCACCAGTCTGAGGTCTCCCTTGCCGTGAAGCACGGCGCTCAAGTTGTCGACGCCCATTTTGACTGAGACGGAAGAAAGTTGACCTACGAAGAATCAGCGGACAACGGCCAACTGGATCTCGAGCTGAACGGGGCCTATTTTAAAGGCAATCGATGGAAGTGAATTGACACAATCTAATCTTCCCGCTCTCCGTTCGATTTCTTTGACACCAGCCTGAAATCTAAGGTGTCAAGTTCAATAAGATCATCGAACCGAACAATTTGTTCTACGCGTTGCTTTGGAGCCCCATCTCGTTTTTCACTTTGGTATTCTCGGATATCAAGACGCAGACTCGCGAAGAATTCCAGAGAAACCAGGAATCCAGAGTCCGAACTCGCCTCCCGTACGACCCCGCTTAAGAGGCGGATAGACAAGAAAAACAGAACTCAGGTAGCTATAGGACCGAATCCATTGGTTTGTCGTGGTGCGGAGCAGAGGGGGTCTCGGCACGCGATAAGTTCTCGTGCCCATCGACATCCATGCAGAGTGAAGTATCGAAACAGACTGGAGAGATCTGGTCAATGACTAGCATATTGGACTCGGGGTAAGGAGCCCCCAAATGAAAATTATTAGGTCTCAAAGATCCGAGCCGCCGGCGCCGATCAATCGCTGCCAAAGACTCTGACCTAGATAAGGATTGCCTGCTCATCTCAAGGCGATTTCGAGACGTCCCCCACTTTCGCTGACGAATGGTAGCCCGCCAGGTGATTATTTCTCAGATGGAGACAATGACGACAAATGGATGACAATGGTGACTCGAAAACGATTACTTCGGAGACGAACATCCCTGGTGTCCGATTCTGTCCGACGTCGGAGACTGTTGCGATCATGATGATGATGGAAACACCGGAAAAAGAATTGAAGGAGTCAGATTCAGCTCAAAACTCCAAGATCTTCCCGCGGGCACGGACCGGGATGCTCGAGTTGAGTCTGACGAGCCCTATCCAAAACCTAGATCGATGATCTCACTATCCCAGGATACGTATCGCGCCTTGTCGAGCATTCCGGGAGCTCTGTGAATGGAGAGCCAGGCTGCAGGCGAATGTAGCGGGAGATCCTCCTCGATCAAACTGGTTAGGCTCGGAGTCCGCGACGATAACACGACCGAGGGAACGGGGTCCGCTTGTTGGCCGTCAGCGGGAGCACCTCCGTGAGGCGCTTCCCCCGAAAAAAGACTCACATCCGAGGCGTATGTATCAAACACTCAGTTCGGGGTTGCAGACGATCTTAGAACGGACCAAAATCGGATATGTATTCTCTCAACTGAGCCCGGCGATCTACGTCGGCTTGGACTCTTTTCGCATTCTTCCTTTTCAAGGCTTGCCTGGTGTCTGGAAGACCTTCTTCGTGATGAATACTCAGCGATATTCCGTCGCAAATCCACGGAGACTACTCTCGGGGCCGATGTTCCCCTCTGCCTCGGGTCGAGAATGTGCTCACTAGCGCTAAGCGGGACACCCGGGAGATTTCCCCTGATTGGGGAAACACACCTCTAGGTCCGCTCAGGGCCGTGGTCTCTTCCGATCTCCTGGGTATGGTGCGGCCACAAATATTCAGTGATTCAGTACGGGGGAAATTTGAGAGATTTGTATACCGAGGAGAAAGATTAGCGCATCTAGGTCCGAGGAACACCGAGGTCAACGGCCTGAAAACGCCACCCACTGGACAGCAAACTCGATGCTTTTCAGAGGTGTGCATCACGATATACCCCCAGAAACGGAGCCTTCCCTCTTGAGGGAATCCTATCGACAGTGACGAAACGAAGCATCATTTCGTTCGAGATTGTCTCGGAAACCTTGTCTTCGAGATTGTCTCGGAATCCTCGTCTTCGAGAACGTCGGCGTTGGGAGTCGAATCTCCACGGACAGCATCACCGGATCAGCGATATCACATCCGAAATCGATGTTGCCTCCACTTTTTTGCGAACTTCTCGATTCTGGAAATGCGCATTTTAAGTTTCATTGTCAGGCCTACCACCGACTCACCTACCTCTGTAGAGTCGCGGCACAGCCAGAACTTCGAGCGAGCGATTGATCCTTCGACAAGTAATATCATCATCATCATCGCTTTCTCTCCCCGCCCCTATGTAATCGGATGGATATAGTTCAACGGTCGTCTACTGGCGGGGAGGAGGGGGAGTCGGAAGTGCGACTCTCTGAAGCTCAGAGACTCAAGTCGATTCGAACCCGTTTCGCGAAAACATATTCCACCGGCGTCGTTCATTTCTGAGCCTTTTGTGTGAGTATTCTGAGCAATCGATCTATATACACGGATAATCCCCTCTTTTGAGTGGGCCAGCCTCTGAGATGCGATCTGGTCTGAGAAGATTCTTTATCAAGGCCTCTGATAGAAAGGAAATTTCTGTATCCCTCCTGTAATCCGCGGCGAGCCTCCGTGTACACAAACTATATATGTGTGTCGAGAGGAATCCTCTCTCGCCGACGGAAGCCTCGGCAGCTGTCCGGCCCCTCGCTCTCATTCACACAAACTCTGTTTCTCCTCAGACGGTGACCCAATTATTATATTTAGAACTTCTGATAAGAATACGCGACATCCCTTGAAAGGACGTCCATTGCCACTTTCGGGTCAATCCGAGGGTTTATTGGACCGGGCGTGAGCTTCATCTCAATTCGTCATCGACCTCACTTGCTCCGAAATGCAACCAAGGGTTGAGTACACGGGAAACCTCGCGTCACGCCGCTACGCCCGTCATCTATCGAGCGAGAATTCTTTGCGGAATAGGGACCATTGGATTCGATGTCGAGAAATCGCTCTGGAGAGAGGAAGCATCCCGTTTGGGAGAGCAGCCAATGAGCTGATCTGGTCTGACCTGATAGTAGTATGTACATACAATAGTACATATGTACAACGTTTCCGCAAGTTTCAGGCACCAGCTTCACCGCCACTAAATCTGAATTAGCTGCCGTGTAAGAGCGCGTGTAATAACACGCTCACCCACACGGATCCAATTGAAAGGCGGACGGACATGTTCTGCGGTTTTGTGAGCGAACTCAACAGGGACAGGGATCGCGGGTACCGATCTTATTATGCTCACGGTGCTCCCGTCGATACTCGACGGTGTAGCCGAATCGCACTTGAATCGAAGCCACTGTTATGCGGAACTCGTATGCAAATGCGCGCCTATCCCTTCCCGATGAGGTACAAGCCGGCTCACCCACTTCCCATCGATTACGTGCGAACTAAGCGCATCCTGTAATTCATCGAATGACTCATTTCCCGAAGCATTGAACCTCGACGTCGTGTCGCTTGTCTCGGATTTCCTCAAAATCGCGTCCCGAAAATATGTTTTTTTTCAGGGGGGTCAGCTCTTTCCCGGCTTGATGCGGCGGTGCTGGGGATTCTCTCCTATGCATGAGAAAAAACATCAGAAAGCCCTAATCCATCACGATTTTCTGACCTCGGAAGCACGACAGATTCGTTTCTCCGACGGCTCTGCAAGATCAGGCTCCTTGAAGGTTCCGAATCCCACGGGAGAAGGCATGAGGGCAGATCTTGAAACTGCCAGGCACTTGCATGAGCTCCGCGGAGATGGCTGGCTCCACGGGAAGCATCAGAGACGGTGAAAGAACCGTCAACTATCTCCGGCAGGACCCTCGAGAGACGCGTGTATTCATCATGTCTCGATAGTTATTCGGTCGATTAGTAACACTGCCCGACAGCCGAAACATTACAAGAAAATAGATTGCTAGGCTGGGGTAAACCGAGGGCGTGATTCCGAATTTGTTAACAGTTTTTTGGGTCAGGTCTAGTTTCTCCGTAGTTTCATTCTCCCTATTTTTTGCCATGTTTCGTCTGTTTAGTCATCTATCTCCGCTCCTGTGTGGGCTGCATCGATCAAACTCCAAAAACGGTTCGAAATACATAGCTTAGAACTATACCTGGCTGGATTTTCGTAGCGATTCCGTGCAATGGTCTCCGAGCTAGAGGCATCGGAAACTCAAAGAAAATGTGAAAAATTTGAGAGAGGGTCTCTTGGTGAGCTCTTGACAAAAAAAACTAAGACTTTCGAAGCCGTCTACCCTAGACTTTTTCATGGGGGATGCCTTTACGAACATTTCAAGACCAAAGGGAGCATGATCGGATGATATGTACATCCATTTTTTATTCAAGAAAGACTCGAAAACCCTGAAACACCCGATTTCACTCGGGAAGTCGAATAATCCGCATCACATCGAGTGGTTAGCGATTGCCTGGAATGTGGTCGATCAGAGCCGTCCCGCATGAGGTTCCAGCAATAGTCTGCCATCATGGAGACATCCCACTTTTTTGTCGAGCTGCATCATGAGAATAGGGAAGAATCGGGAATCCAGGAGAGGAGCGAGCAGGGTTTTTCCTGGATCTGTGGGCTCCGGCACCAAAAATATGTAGCTTCCAGCTTCTCTACTTCCGCAGTCGGACGAGCATCCCGCCGGGAATTCGTGTCTTCCCGTGAGGATTTGAGGAACGCCTCTGGGAACGCGACCATTGGTCCATAGATTCTTGCTAATGTTTGGTTGAGGTGCCCGAGACGGCTCTGACAGCCGAGTATTTGCATGTCGGACGATCACAGATCGAGCCAGTTGAGGAATGAAGTCTAGAACGGTGTTTCGAAGTTGAGGTCTCTCGGAGCCTTCAGGACTCGATTGCCACCGATCGCGTAATTGACGCTCCGAAGCTTCGTGCATCAGAGTAGACCGCATTTCATAGACCACGTCACGCCGCCGCGCTTCGACGTGATTTGAGGGTTCTATTCCTCCAATGAGGAACCCTGTTCACTCCTGCAGAGTCACTCTCTTCTGCCTCGCCACCTTCGGGAGTGAGATAGACGCAGGCGAATATCGGGAAGGGAACGGGTGGGTGCTTGGGGCCATCTCCCGGCATGCATATGCAAGCTCACGCGAGCTCACCACGTGCTCTGATGAAAATAGGCTTGACGTTGAGAACGTGCAGTGACGGATGTTTCAATGGGTTCGGGATAAGGGCATGCTCTCCCCGAAATTACGCGTAGTACTCGTTGAACTGCGACTCAAAACCGCTATGGGAACCCCGAGCCACCGGCGAGAAGAGCTTCCCGGATTTCATCTTCCTGTTGATCTCTGAATGAATGACCCCAAGGAGGTCGATGATTTACATCATTCAACCCCACGCTCACTCAGTCAGACCCGCTCTCGACTTCCTACAGAGCAAGATGACACAAGCTAGAGGAAATCTACTGCTCTATCGTCTTTTCGCGATCGACTGGAACTTGGGATGAATTTTTCTTAATCCATGGTGCGAGCTGAACAGAACAGAACTTCTTCCTCAGCTGTCGTCAGATGCTCCACGGGTCGAGCGGTAGATCCTGTGCACGCTCGGAAGAACATGATTCGAGCCGCGTGCGAGCTATGCAGCCGTTTGCTTCCATAATTTCCCTCGTGTCCCGAAGTCGAATGATTTATTAACCATTCCTGATACTACATGTTTTACATTGTATCCAGGAGACCCCATGCGCGGGGGGGGCGAGTCATCTCAGCTCAATGAAGGAGATCAGTTGACGTCCAAATTAGTGTATCACTTTTTCAGCTTTTGGGGAGGGGCCCTGTAGCATGAAGTGTTCGATTTCCCTGAATTGGAATAGGCTCGCGCATTTGACACAGTCTCTTCGCTCAAATGTTGATGATGCGATAATCACCAACGACTTTCCTGAGGCGGCATCGGCTGAGCGGCCATGCATTCGTTTACGAACAAAATGAAATATGGAGCGATCAGCAACAGCAATTTTCTCACGACAGAATCCTCTATCGGCTAATCCCTCTCAACGCACCTGTGCGCTCCCGAGATATGATAGAGAGCATCGATGCGGGTTGATACGCTCGCCTGAAGTTTCGCAGCAGAGCTCTCTTCGAGCACGCGGAGACCATGACTCAGCGCAACCTCTCCCGCGCAGTCGGTGAGACGCCACGATACCTGGAAGATGAATTATTTCACTCTCATTTCCCAGCGCTTCTTCCTCCACCTAATTCAAAAAGCCAATGGAACGGCTCTCGCAGAGATGTCGTCTGTTTCGAGGACTAAGCCAAACGTCATTCCATAAGCCAGTCGAGCCTTACTACGGCGTCCTTGTTGACAGCTGGACTGCAGTTTCCTGTCGTCGGGATGGAGCTCTCGAACGGCACTGATTTGTGTGCGAACTTTGTTTTCGGGAAGTCTTCGGTGCTCCAATTATTGGACTGCACACCCCTCGCCCCGTATCTGCCGCTCATTCTTCTGACTGTGTTTACCTCGATTCTCTTCTACGTTCTGGCGCTCACCGCGGACAAGTACCTGTGTCCTGCACTCGTCGAATTATCCAAGCTCCTCGGTCTGTCTGAGTCGCTGGCCGGGGTGACACTTGTCGCTTTCGGCAATGGCGCCCCGGACGTGTTTTCAGCCCTGAGCGGCATCCGACAAAACAAGAGCTCCATGGTGTTCTCTCAGCTTTTCGGGTCGGGAGCTTTCGTCAGCGCCCTGGTCGCTGGTATCGTGATGATCGTCGTCCCTCCGTTCGATGTGGACTGGCCGAGCTTTTCTCGTGACATGATCTTCTACATGAGCGGATCGATATTCACGTTTTACGTTTTTTACCGGAGCAAAATTCACCTCATGCATGCCGTCGCATTCGTCGCCATCTACGTGATATACATCGCCGCGGTCGGACTTTTCTCGAGTTACTGGCAGTCGGAACAGACGCTCGAGCTGGACGAGGAGGCTATGTCGGATCATTCGTCGCTATACGGCTCGATGAAGTCTGTCTTCGACTCAGCGTTGAGCGTCGTCAGAGCTACGAAATCGAATAATCTCACCGATCCCGTCGTTTTAACATCCTCCTACGGCACCTTCGACCAATCCGGGAGTACCCTTTTCGACAGTGGGCGCTTCACCGAAGATACGTCGTCGCACTTCATCTTCGCCGAGCTCGTCCTGCACACCTTGCCCTGGACTTGGGATAAACTTCGCGGGATGCCCTGGTATTCCCAAGCTAAAAGCATTCTCCTCTTGCCCGTGAATCTGCTTCTTTCTCTGACCATCCCAGTGGTGGATAGAGATGTTTTCAAGTCGAATTGGTGCAAAACCCTAAACACCGTGCACTGCGTGCTCACGCCGGCGTTCACCGTTTTCCTATTTTCGGGAGACTTCGACGTCTACGGGGTCCCGCTGAGTCTCTGTGTTCTCCCCGTCTCACTCACACTCGGAGCGCTGGTATTCTGCACTTCGAGAATCAACGAAGCTCCGAAGTATCACGTAGCCTTCGCGTTGATGGGTTTCGCGGCTTCCGTTGCCTGGATCTTCAGGACCTGCGAAATTCTCGTTTGCACGTTGAGCGCGATCGGGACGGTCATGGGGATTCCCGATTCGATTATGGGGCTGACAGTTCTCTCGTGGGGGAGCAGTCTCGGAGATCTCGTCACGAATATAGCGATCGCGAAGCACGGATACGCATCTATGGCGATCTCGGCAGCGTTCGGGGGAATCCTACTCGACATGCTTTTAGGACTCGGTGAGCATTTTCTCTAACATTTCTCCCGCTTCCGTTGGGAATTAAAAATCTGTTTTCTGTCAATACATCATAATCGGAACGGCGCGGCGATCCATGACGAGTCGAAAGTTCTCCCAACGCGGATCGCTTGCTCGTTCTGTCGATGCTGTCCGTTATCGGTTCCGATGGATCAAGCGGGACGATGGACGGCAATCTCGAGCCGATGAACGCGGCAGAGCTTTTGAAAACATCATCGATCGTCTTTATCTCTTACAATTAGTGATATCTGGAATCGATGTTCTCAATCGAGTTATCCTCTCGGGTCCTACGAACGGCAAATGTGCGCTTTTAGTCATCACGATTGATGTTTGTAAACTCATTCGAGGCCTACGACCTCTAATTTGAAGCAATTACTCGCTAGAAATTTTCTCGTCCACCCCCGGTGAAGGTCTCATACAGCTTCTTCCTGCTAACGGACTCGAAATCATTCCAGGCATTCCGTATGCGATTCTCGTGCTGAGTACTGAGGAGTGGGTCATGGAGCTGGAATGGACCTACGCCGTGGTTCCTCTTTTCGCAGGAGTTGTTTCCTTCATCCTTGTTGCGAGCGCTGGTTTATATTCAAATCAGTGGCGCACATCGAAATTACAAGGCTGCGTGTTCATATCGATTTATGCTATAACTGTTACGGTATCGGTAGCCATTTCAATAGCCGAGTCGCTAGGTGGCTTCACATGACATCAGACTTATTCGCGTTTTCACGTCACTCAAAAAAAATCGACGAATGAGCTCTTGCGAAAGATCTCGCTCGCCAGCGGTATCGGAAGTATCACACATCGGATCCCATCGCATCCCGATTTCTGTCCTTCAATCGGTTCTCGCCGGATGTGGACGGGAACCGGATCGATTGAACCTGAAGGTCTGATGTGAAATCATCATCTCGCTGACAAGAAGCGTGAATCAAACTTCTCTGCTTCATGCAACCCTTCGAATGTAAACAGCCCCTTGTTTAGATTACGGTAGAGAATTGTGAATGATAAATGTATTTCCGTCGGGACGCATCGAGATCTATCCGATGCCTTCAATGATGAATGATAAAGTAAAATCCTGCATAGCCTGTTTTCGAGATGTCTTCAGAGAGCGGCCACCGGATTTTTGCGGCTCCCGCAGAGGCAGCCGATTTTCGGTCAAATCGACGTGGTGCCTTTTTTCAGGGAGGGTCTTGGATCTCCGATGGTGACCAGGGGCAGTTATCTTTCGGAGGCACATTTTGATATGTACTCAATAAGCCGGCTGTAAATCAGCGAATATATTCCTCTCTCGAGACGGCACAGCTCTCGTGGGGAATGAGGGGTTGGGAGTCGATTCAGTGGAAGACGAGTTTCAAGGGATCTTTTTCCAGAAATTGGTGACGGTTCTGCATGATATATGGAGCTCCGGAGCGACAATCTCACAAAGCGGATGCTCGATCGATTCTTCAAATAGCTACAAAACAACGCGACAAGACGTCTGAATCTTCCTTCAGGTTCGACTTGAGGACCACGAGCCCCGAATCGCTTGACGTCCCCCTTCATCGACCAGATTCCATAACTAGAGGTAGAGCAGCTTTGAAAATGCTCGAAAGATCTTCCAAACGGCTCGAAAGGGGGAGCCGGTCGATCGGACAACTTCCCCGCAAGCTGAGATTCCGACCTGATTCATGTCTGATGTCCTTGGGACGTTGCGATCGGGAGTGTTTTTCTCCGAGAGACATTTCCCGGAGCAAACATTGCGGAAGCAAAATATGGCTTCGTGCCGCGATAACCGACAAAGCGTCGGTGGACTTGTCATGGGGTCGTGTATGTCCACCAGTCGAACCGAGTGCCCCGCTTGGCTAGGTGGCTCGGATTCTGGAACTTTCACTTGTCGCCGAAGAGCACGGATAGTTTGACTGCAAACGCTTCTGCGTGATCCCAGCCGCGTTTATAGATTTGAGTCCACGCATACGCATGGATCCGGTGGTTCCAAGGTTCGGATTGCCTGTAGAGGGATATCGTGCAGGCTCCTCGACGAATATCCGTGGGTCTGTTGCTTCATGAGCGAAAGGGTCTCTGATGAGTTTGGGGACTTCCACATGTCGGAAACATAGACTCGTCGCATACGTATCGGATTTGCGACCGCCAGGACCATGTGTATGACTATGTTACACCGTGCTTATGCAAAACGCACGCGGCTCGACATCTCCGACCGCCCCGCCTGTCTGCCGAAGGCACGCGATCGAGACCCTACAGTTCTGTTTCGAGATTGGAGGCTCATGCGCGTGGAAGGTGGCACCACATGAAGGAGTCGACCGTGGAAAAAAAATGCGTAGAAAAAAGACGAAGTGTATGTACCGAGGGGAAATTCTCGATGACTATCAGAAGGCCGGTTCTCTGGATCAATGGCAATAACAAGGATAAGTGGGGAATCTATGAATATCTGAGCGGCTTTGAGGAGCCGATATGCAATCCTTTGTATGACCCTCTTTACACCCGCCCGTTTCATGGGAAAAAACTGCTCTGACCTCAATTCGTAATGCAAATAGCGGCAACTCTGCGGGCAAACTCGTTTCGCTTAAAATCACAGCGACCCACGCGAGAGTGAACCTGTGGAGCGGCTGAATCTTATTATTCCCTCAAGTGGAGGCCTCCGATGTCTGCCTTGCCCCCGCCTGACACAGGAGGGGTTCGACGCAGCTCGTAGGGGGAGGGGGTGGGGCGAGTGTTGACACCTGCAAGATAGTCGCGCTTCTCCCCACTTACGATTCTACACGACTTCCACTGAAGAGGATGAACTGGGTCAGATGTGAGAGGTTTTTCCGCTTCACTCATCGAATGGGAACGGATCTCTTGGCATTCCGGGAAGGCGTAAACGTGAATAGTACGTTGAGCGACACAGAAAGCGTCCTAGAGCTGAATGACTCCCGAAGCGGGATTGGGACCAGAGGAAAGCGATGTTGCATGGATATTCTCCCTTTGGCTGAGACGACACACCTTCACTCCAAGGACAGATCGCCGGGAAATCGAAGCGGACAGTTCGCGGAAGAGATCACTGCCGGGAATTGTCTGTATCCCGCTAAGCGCGCTCGGTCCCTTCCTCCCTGAGCGAGCGATGAGAGCTCTACAGACCGTCCTTGAATGTTTCGTCGAACACAACACTTTCGATACTCTCAGCTTTTTGAAAGTTGCAACTGTTTCCGGGGCTTCGAGGTGTTTCCCGGACTCGATCTTACCGAGAAATTCGAGAGGGAGGTTCAAAACAGGAACTTTAGGTTGCAGGAAAAAAATTGCTCCCGGCGCACTCGTTGAGCGCGACGCAACTCTCCCACGCAAACAGACTGAATTGTACTATCGAGCTCACCACAATGTGCGTATCGTCTGCGTCCCATCGAACTCTCATCTACGTTGTGCATACGGGCCCGCGACAACAAGCCGTGCTGTAGATCAGACCGCTTGAAAACATGTCTGTGGAACGTCAACAACCCGAGCACGGAGCTCGCCGTTTTAATTCAGAAGATGGAAACTTCATTTTCAGGAAGCCAACCCCCTCTCTGTGTTCCAATCTAGAAGCTTCGGGAATATTTACGCGCGGAGTATTAGGAAAACTTGCACGCTACGGAAAGGCCCTCATGGAAAGCATGCCGTTGACGAGAGACATCCGCGTACTCGAGTACCATAGGTCATCTTCCCTTTCAATCCTCTCGAGGGTAAAAAGGTGTTTTAGTCATCGCTCCTAATACCACGAGCGATTTCGCGTTACCACAGAGATTGATGCGGGAAATATGTTTTGCATGAGCGCGTGCGAGCATATTGAATCCGTGGTTATTATTCTGATCCAATTCGTAGCACTTATCGGCCAGATCTCTGACAGAAATCCGCCGATCTGGAGAAGGAGCACGAGGAGATGGAATTTCCCCCTAGTCCCTGGCACGTGCTCGAAACAGAGCATCGCCCCCCTAGGATGGATTGGGGAATGTTTTCGTGGACGGTCGGGGTCCCCGTAAGCAGGAAGATTGTGATCCAGCTGCAGTTGCTTCGTTTCTGACCGATTGAGTCGCGTGCTCGCCGAGCAGTTCTCATGATGAGGAATCCGCGGAAGCGATGCGCGATATTTGCTCGACCATATTCTCGCGCAAGGATGATAAAGCTCCAAGTCGGCTCACCGTTTACACGTGCTCGGTCTGGGCTCCGACGGCTCTGAGCGCAGCGATGCGATTGACCCTTGCGCTCACTAAATCGCACCGTAGCCTGCGGACCCGAGAGAGAATCGTCGCCGGATGCGGTTCATCCGAAGTCCAAACCTTGCTTGCCGCTCTTCCAGCGGAAGATCTTCTCAATGAATAAAAAAACGGATTTCAGGACCTGGTTCGTCCGCGAGCATCGAGTTTGCGGACATCTCTGCGCTCAGCGCCTCTGAGGGAATTGCTCTCCTTATCGAGCGACAGAAGCCGACCTTCGTGAAAGCCGTGGACGGCTGCCTGATGCCCGAGGTCATCCCTCATCATGAACCTGTCGGGCTTCTCGACGAGAGAAATTCGCTCATACCATTCATCGTCGATACATTGAAGACTTCATTTTCTTTGCTTAGCTGTCAACAACTCGCGCATGCTCAGCACTGGTACCATCAGATATAGAGGCGAGGCCAAAACTGCTCCTCGTTGAATGTCATTAGCCCGATAATGTACATAGGCACAATTCATTCGTAGGTCTACATAATCACCTCGTCGACGAGTCCGCTCTCGATCTGAAGGCGCTTGACGGAATCAGAAATGAGTGAGTTTGAGACGGCGCGGCGCCGGCGTTTTCCTATCCGTTGAAGGAGACCCGCTACCCTCAAAACTCAGGTTACTCACAGCGATTGTCTGTGGCGAGGAACCGGATTTCTGTATTCATCAATACTTCAGGTATAGGCAGAAGATCAGGCATCGGCCGCGAATAGCTTTAGTCGCGCGTGGTCGCGACTCCTGGTGGACTTCCGTTGATTTCGGTCGTTCGGACTCTCTTGACATCTAGGTTCGACTCGATTGAAGGTGCAAGAGTCGCGAAGATTGCAGAGCTTGTCTCGCGGATAATTTTGTCAGTATGCAGCATGCTCGCGGTTCTTATTTGATTGATTCGGTATAGGTACGTACCTAAGCCAGTTTGATTGACCTGACTCCCCAACTCAGAAAAGATACACTTCGACGTACCCATCCGTGGCCTCGAGGCTTCAGGGATGATCTTGGTTTGCGGAGATTCCCGAGCGGGGCCCGACGTCCGGAGTTCGGGCCACCTTCACTCCCATTATATGTTGCATCATATATTAGCCGAGGTATAATCAGGTCTAAGCCGCGAGGAATATCCCGCATTTGGGGCCGAGAGTGGAGAAAGAATGGAAGAGAAAGCGAAGGCTCGCTCACCCATGGCTTGAATGACTGAAGAAAAGTTTCTCATCGTTGTTGCTAAGGTATGCAACCAGGTCGTCGAGCGTGTTCTGTGGAGTCTTCGTCACCTTGAGCTCTGGCGTAGCGTACATGACGGTGGCTCATCACGAGTTCCCTCTCAACAGTGCGCTCGAGCATTCAACGAGCTCATTGTTGGCCTGCGACCACGAGGAATCGGGTTAACGAGTCACCGACTTCTTTTGCATCACAAAAAAGACACGGCGAGCGATGGAGGAGACGATGGATCGGTGGAAAAAGGAACTGGGTCGGTAGGGCGAATGTTCACGAATCACAGATGGGGGGTGTTGCGATTTTTGCCATTCACTTTTTTTCTTGAGCTTGCCCCACTTATCCCGTGACGATTCCGTTGCTTCTCGCTGCCGACGCGGGCTGTTTCTCGCCATCAGACGTTCGACGGTCTCTGGGGATACATTAACGACGAGCATTTAAATAACGACACCGGCGACGAAGCCGAGCTGTGATGATCGCGGAATTTATTACAAGATGATGCTGACGAAGATGAGAAACTGGGTCGCGTAATTCCGAACGTTTGCAAAGGTTTCATAGTTTTTGAGATCGCTCGACCTCGAATTCGTGCGGAAATCGGAAACTCGCCCGACAGGGTGCCGTCAACCTTGACATCTGTACACTGGGT